ACACACACACACACACACACACACACACACACACACACACACACACACACGCATACACACACATTGTGCACCTTAGCACTAAGATTCGCACTGCCGGGGAGACCCAACCAGGTCGAAACAAGTTTTGGGTGCCTCCTAGTTTTCTAATCACAATTTGGTCGCTTTGTACACGGTGACATTAACCATGTAATCCAAGCAAATCTGCCCAACACTCGTATAACACCAGATTTCATCGAACCTCAGTATTTGAAGTTTTAATTATAGTATTGATCATTTTACTATCAACTCTGATTTGCCAGTGGGTTCTTTTCCATGTTCGTGGGGTTTTTGGTAACTGTGGGTTATTGTTTTCATCACCCATCTCACTCACTAAACCATAAAGATCCAAAAAATGTAGTCAGGCTGTGAACAGATGCGACGAGGATGAGAAATGATGTGACTATTCGATGAACCTGACTAAGGAAGTGAGAAGCTGTTGGTGTCCGGTTGTCATTGTCATTGAAGACGAAATGCAGTAGTCAATACGGAAAATGCAGGAAAAAATACCACTTCTGTTAGCTATTCAATTAACTCCAATTTAATATTGCTGTTCAGATGAAAAACTGCAAATGATTTCAATACATCCCTGTACAATTGCATTCAGCATCAGATATATATAACCAATCGCATTTGGTTCGGAGGAAGCAATTTAATTCGAGGAATCTCGGCCTAAAGTAAATCAACTCACTAAACACTTGAGGGCCTAGACTAAACCCACTCATCTACTGAATCATGCCAAGTATGGTGAGCACAGTGACCGATTTTTCGATCCATCTTGACGGGATTCGCTTCCTTACCCGGTCACCGGGTTCGTTCATCCTCGTCTAAAGTTCACTCGATCAGCGATCACGTCCTCGGGATTGGGGGACGAATAGTCACCCTAACCCACCAAAACTTCCATTCTCGCTCGGTATCGCACTCAATAAGCAATTTTCTTCGTATACGGAGAAATCAGTTCATTCCGACTGGGCGGGATTTCGACAAACCCGGTCCAATCAGTGACGTATGGCGGCTGAAGCCACTTTGTAGGGTTCCTAGCAGGATGCGATTGGCTGGATTCACTTGAAGTTGAAAAAGTACAGTACACCCATTTGGGTTTTCGATAGATCAGAGACAAGAAGGATTCACACCTCCTTTCTGTACAACAGTTGTGCTTTTGAACTGCGTTAATCGGAGTTTATTATTCACCCCTGCTCAACATACCCACAGCGCAAATGGCAACAAACGATTGAAAGAACATATAACGCTACCTACTCATAATACTGCACGACACGAAGCGATTGCTTATTGAATCCAATCTAGACAGGCCCGACTCTTCAGTTACCTCCTCCTGTGTTTACCTACTTCAATGTACTTGCGGTAGCAAGTACGTTGGAAGAACTGAGAGACAATTGTCTACCACGATAGCGGAGCATACACCGAAAAATTTGGTGTCTAACGGGTCCAAGCTTCCGTCCAGTTCAATCGCCCAACATATACTGGATTGCAAAGAATGTGGCAAACCTAGGGACGCCTTTCGTGTCTTGATTCGCCAGAAAGGTAGCCGTCTATTACGGTTCGCTGAAGCGGCTGCTATTCAACGTTACAAGTCTGATTTGTGTAAACAGACCGAATTTGTGGCTAGCCTCGCTCTGCCCGCTGGTAGATGTGTCACTGTCCTCCTCCCTCTCCCCTCTCCCTCTCCATCCGGCAGTGATGCCTGCCCCAATGTCCAATCCGGCTAATATTAGTGACATTTGACCTTTGTAATGATTGATTTCTCTTCCCCGTGTGTGCTCGCCTGTCCCCAAACCTCTCACTATTTTAACCAAACGTGATCTGAATTTATGTACACAGCTGATGAGATTACCACGAGATGAGATTATGTAATGATTGTTGTAGTAGTATAGCACTAGACCGCAATGGCACGGTTTCC